ATTTACGATGCTATAATAAATATGATATTAATTAATAAATGTTACGAGGAACTTGATAGATTCAATTGTGTTATAGTAATTTGTGTCAAAATAACTTGAGAATCGTATGACAACTATTTTTCGTTCGTACATAGTTAAGCTTCGTCTGAGATATACTCGATTAAATAATTGGTCGAGATCATGTTTCTCATTATTTTTATTATGTCGCAAAAAAAAATAAAATAAAATACCTTATTATTTTGAATAAGCCCTATTGAAAGCCTTGTATCTATATACACAGGGTATTTGCTAAGTACGTAAATACGCGTTCGTTTGTATGAATTCTTTTAAAATCCCTTTTCTTTTTTAAATAAATAAAGCACTTAAAGATAACTTCTTTGATTTAAAACTGGGTTAAATTGTTTTTAATACACTTTTGAACAACTTTAGCAGTATATTTATAACTTTCTTGAATAATTACTATTATCCGAAACAACAATTTTTTTATTCATTGATTAAACATGTTTCAAGTAAATACGATTCTTGAAATTGAACCCTTAGAATATAATGAACAAATAACTGATCTTACCTCTTCCAACAATCGGCCTGTCGAACAGAGTAATATACAACCCAACATTCAATCTTATTCGACGTGGCTTATCTCTACAAAAATGCAAGAAATAATTGACAAATTTGAAGATACTATATTATCCTAATTTTCATGTGTTCCTTGTTCTATCTGTTCCAGACTTATGTATCCAGAAAAGTCTTTGTGGATTCAACGGGATCCTAACTTTTCGTACCCACTTGCGAATTACATGTCATTAGTTACGCATCCTAACCCACCAGAAAATCGTGTTGCAGTATGCTCTTTATGTAAATCAAATCTAAATCGCAATTATCCACCGTATCTTTGTCCTATTCCACCTGAAATCGATCTTGTACCTTTAAAAAAATGAAAACATCTATCCCTCATCTTTTTACATTGTTCCCTAGGTCACACACCCGGTGCCAATCCCTTCTCTGAATACAGATCTTTAGTTGGCACTATGAACTAC